GCAATTGTTGGTGTCCAGAGGTAGCAGTTCAGAGACTTACTGTTCCCTTAGTCTAAAAGACTAATCAGTATTTTATCACTGGGATATTTATTTTATAAAACAATAGGTAACCAAATAGAATACCCTGATGAACTTCTCAAAAAGCCATCAAAGCTGGACACGGAGGCTCACACCTGTAATTCTGGCTACTCTGGGCTGAGATGTAAGGATCTCGCAGTTCAAAGCCAGCCTGGGTAGGAAAGTCGATGAGACTCTGATCTCCAATTAACCAACAGAAAACTGGAAATGGAGCTGTGGCTCAAAGTGGTAGAGCCCTAGCCTTGAGCTGAAGGACTCAGGGACAGTGCCCAGGCCCAGAGTTCAAGCCCCACACCCGACAAAAAAAAAGTGCCATCAATTACTCACAAGACAATATGTTGGAAATGAGTTATACAACTTGGGGAGAGGGGATTTGAAGGGAGAGGGAAAGAGGGAAAAACATGAGGGGATAACAGGTTTCATAAGAAATGTACTCACTACCTTACTTATGTAACTGGAACCCCTCTGTACATCACCTTGACAACAAAATTAAAATTTAAAAAAGTTAATGTGGTTTCCTCACCAAGTTTGGGGCCAATGTAGGAATAAATTGATCATGGAAAAAAAAGTCATCAAGTTGTTCAAAAGTCTCCAGACAGGGCTGGGAAGTTGGCTCAGTGGTAGAGTGGTTGTCTCGCATGAATGAGGCCCTGGGTTTGATTCCTCAGCACCACATAAGCAGAAAAAAGCCGGAAGTGGTACTGAGCTCAAGTGGTAGAGTGCTAGCCTTGAGCTGAAGAGCTGAGGGACAGCGCCCAGGCCCAGAGTTCAGACCCCACGACCGGACCCTCCCCCCAAAAAAAGTCTCCAGACAGCTTGTAAGAACCTCACATGCTTTTAAGTAGCCCTGATAAACAACTACCTCTGAAGCCTAAATGCTCATTAAATCTTGGGGCCTGAACTTTGGGGTCTGGGTGAGGTCCCTGGTGTTTGCTCAAGGCTAGTGCTCTACCACTTAAGCTGGCAGGTCCACTTCTGGTTTTCTAGTGGCTCACAGGAGATAAGAGTTGCACAGACTTTCCCACCAGGGCTGCCTTCAAATCACCATCCTCAGTTCTCAGCCTCCGGAGTAGCTAGGATTATAGACATGCACCACCTGGAGCAGTAACAGGGTGTGGTCTAGGGATGGTATGCCAATGGAAGCCAGCCCTGGCCTGGTCATAACGAAGAGACCCGGTGGTATCTGCCCAGCATTGACCAGTACCACCCCTATAGTTAGATAATGCTCTTCCTCTTGGGCAATGCCCAGGCTGCAACACATGAAAGACATTCTTCCTTCTCTCCTCTCAAAAACAGACCCACGAGGTCAGCACCCTAGAGACTCAGGAATGAAAGGGGATTTGGCCAAAGGGCTCAAGAAATGTAGTTCCACAGCACTCTCTTGGGTTCATCCTCATCCTCCTTGCTCCCCAGGTTGGCTGAGAACAGCTGGAGCAGCCAGTACTTCCCACATCATCAATTTCACAGAATGGAAGAATGGGACACAAAACTTATTAACACGAAAGCATTTTAGGAAATCTCTTGGTTTTCACAACCTGACAGCTAATTCTTGCTCTTTTGATCTTTAGGACATGAGGAAACTCTCCAGAGAAGACCCTCTGGTTACAGAGGACCCATTAAGTACCTTTTCAGGGTCCTTGGGCAAAGGGCACAAGCCCTCATCATAAAACCACAGGCTCTCAGCCAAGGGTTCCCGGGACTTAAGAGGCAAATAAGTAACTCCTCAATTAAGAGCATCTCTACCTCTGGCTCCACCCCTTCCTCTCCTTTGTCAGTTACTGGGAGAGAAAAACAGTCAACAAAAATTTGCAATTTTGGCCTGGGTGTGGATTCTCTGAAGGTTTCCACCCAAAGCAACTAGAGGAAATAAGAAATTACATAGGAGGATGAAAGGACAAATTCAAGAAGATTAACTATAAAGTTGGAACAGGAACTGACCAAAAAACATCTCAGGGAGCACCAGGGAGCCCCCTAGGCGGGGGGGGGGGGGGGGGGGGGGGGGGGGGGGGGGGGGACCTTCAATGAGATATTAAGTAAAAACCAGCTTATGTTCCTTTGATGATGGAAATCTGGATTGTGACATTAAATTTAAAGTAATGCCAAAGAGCAAAAAAAGCTATTCACACGACACCTGAGAAAAACAGTATGTTTGGAATGGTTCAGAAATAAGCAAAGTGTATGGTATCTGGCTACACTATGAAAAAAGTAAGGGTGTGACTAATTACCCTGTCACAAAAGGCTACATCACTGAATCTTTGGGTGCTAAAACTCCGATTCTGGACCTAGGTGGGCAATCACTACACGGGTTCACCTCACAAACCCTAGCAAGGCATTTGTATCTTGCGAGTTTTCTGTTTCACAATTTAAAACATAAATAAATTAGAAAAAGAAACCATTTCAAGGACATAATATTATGGGGTTCTATTCAGAAGCTTTGATCATTGAAGAAGATGGCAGCCACTACCAGAATAATTCATGCAAGAGAAAGCAAATATAATCGTGTAAATAAAAGGCACTCCACCTCTCCCTGCCTCATTTTTTGGTTTGCTTTGGCGTGGAGGCTCTTGAGTCTACTTACACAAAACCATACTAGCCAATGGTATCTGAGTGGGATCATAATGGCAGCACACCTTCTAACAGGTGTGTGCAGCTCTCGTCAATGTTCACACCCCTCATCATTAGTCCTTCTGTGCTTACAGAGTCCTCACAATCCTTAACACGCACCCTGGGCTGCTGCTGGCCTGGCTGCAGATTCCAAAAGGTAGCTCTGAACAAAACAAGGCTTGCTCACTCACTCCCAGTACACCTTGATGAAGAACTCAGATCACCTGACCAGACCCTAATCTTAGACCACACTGTCTGTCCCTTTAGAACAACGATTTTTCCATTCCCAAGAGGCAATGATCCTACTTTGTTTTCTCATGTGGAAATAAAGAGATGAAGAGGCAAATTACAGGCAGCTTGAGGTCAACTTGAGTCACTTTCACTTTTCAACTGAAGCACCTGCCAGTCATTATCAACAAACTGCCCTGACAATGGAGCTCTATAGTCTCTTTCGGAAGAGTATACACAGACATACAGTATGTGCTCATTAAACATGTGCATATATCATAAATAATAAATAAATCAATATATGAAGGTACAAGCCAGGTATCAGGGGTTCATGCTTGTAATCTTAGTTTCTCAGGAAGTTGAGATCCAAAGGATCAAGTTATATGTATGTGTACTGTGTTTTTTTTCCACCACAAACAAACCATCATTCCTGCACAGGGCCACTTGCCTTAAGAGGTATACTTTGTTTTTGTTTTACAGTGCTGGGACTCAAACCCAGGGCCTCTCACATCCTCAGTCCACATTAAGACTTAAAATCAGCTAAAATGGCCGACCCTTATAACAGATTTCCAAAACATCCTCCCCTACTTTAAAAAAAAAAAGTTTCATGCCATATATAATATCAGAAGTAGAAAGGGCTGACAGGTTAATTATAGACACAAAGAACAGGGACAAATGGACTATGATGTAAGCAAGTCAAAATGTGCAGAGGCCTTGCCCTCCCTGGTCAAGCATTTCTTAATCCGTGGGCAACGGTATACTGGGCACAGCCAGGTTTAGCTCTGTGCCAAGACTGGGCAGAGGTCCAGGGCCGGTATCACACAGCTCCTGGGCTGGAGTGTGGGAAGGCAGTGCATACCTCCAAGAACAATCTAAGAAGTCTCGCTGGGGCAAAGTAGAAGACAAAGCCTTGAAACTGGGCTGCTAGCTTCTTTTGGAGTGGGATGGTCAGAGAACTTCTCCCTGGGCCAGTACAGAAACCAAGAGGAGACCTTGCAAGACCCGCCAAACGCCTACAGCTGCTGGCGGCAGGAGCTTAAGATCCATAGGGATCTCTCTCCATCCAACCGAGGGGAAAGGCTTAGAAGACGGTCGTGACAAGTTTAAGGTCCGCTGGAGCAGACGGAAGGGCCCAGGATGGAATGTGCCGGGTGAGACAGAGCCGCCGGCAGTGCTCTAAGGGCTCCTTTTCTTCAATCAGAAGACACAGTGAGCTTTTGAGTTACATCAACTTTGTGTTCAATCCCAAATCTGGGCTTCCTCACTGAGAGTGCGGGCTGTGGGTCCGGTGGTCTACGGTAGAACGGGGGCCCACCCAGAGATGAGGAGCCACCAAGTTTTTCGGGGACGCCCCCCCCTCGCCGTCTGGGTATCCATCCACTCATCCCTGGAGGGAGGATGGGCCTAGTCGAGCATAATCTAGGAATAACCGGCGGGAAGGAGGCGTGATCACCTTCGGCTGGGGCAGACGCAGAACTAAATGGGTTTAATTTGGGTGTGTTTCTCTCCACACCACCGCGTCTCCTGGGACAGGCATCAGTGGGAGGTGACACCCGGCCACAGATCGGATCCAAGGAGTGGAAAGCGGCCTTCGAGGGCTTTGTAAGTTATGCCCACGCGCATTCCAGGACTCGCCGGCTTCTTTCCATCTGCTCTCCCCACACCGGCGGCCGGGACGAAGCGGGAGCCGGGGTCTGCGGAGACCTTCGTTCCCAAGCGGGTGGACAAAGCGCGTGCGGCGCGGCGCGGCGCTTCCCGGGCGAAGGGAGAAAACCTGCGCCCGCCGCCCGCCCAGGAGCGCGGCGCGGACCCCGCGGCGGAGGGGACCCCGGGGGCGCCGGGGGCCCCGCGGCGGAGGGCGCGGAGCGGCCCGCGCACCTGGCCGCCCCCTCCAGCCTCCCCAGCTCCGCCCCGTCAGCGCCTGCGGGGCCCTCGCCCCCCCTCATCCCCTGACCCGCCCACCCCACCGTGCCGCGAGCCGCTTCCCCACCTGCCTCCCCGGCACGTCCTCCCCGGTGCCCTCCGGACGGCCCGCGCCTCCGCCCCGCCGGGAGCGCCCGGCTCCCACGCGCGTCCCAGGCGGCTCTTACCCGGGAAATGGCGAGAGGCTGCTCGAAGTCCTTGCCGCCCACGAGGCGGAAGCCCCAGGGTCCCGGGCCCTGGAGGACGATCTGCTGGGTGGTCATGGTTGTGGCGGCGGACGCGGCGGGGACGGACGGACCAGACGCGGGAGAGCGCGCGGGGCGAGCGGAGCAGCTGTCGGAGAAAGCGCGCGGCGCGGGTCTGGAGCGCGGGGCGGGCGGGAGCGGCGGGGGGTGAAGGGGGGGACGGAGGAGGGCAAGGGGCGGGGCGGCTCCGCCCTGACCGCGTCGTTGCCGCGCGGCGCCCGTCCTCCGCGGGGCCCGCCGCCGCTCCACGCCCTGCGCGCGGGCCGGGACCGGCTGCGATCGCCGCCCGGAGAGCCCGAGTGCGGCCCGCGGCCCCGCCCACCCGCCGCTCCCAGTCCCGCGGAGGCTGAGGGAGTGGGGCACAGGTCCCGACGGCCCGCGGTGCAGACCGACCCGCGCCGGGTGCTTTCTCTGCAAGTTGTTGGAAACGGTTGTGCAGAGTCAACGCTCTGCGGTCAGCTCCATCTTCACGTTTGCTTTTTAGAAACCTCAGAGGCGGTTAAGGGATGCTTTCAGATGAGCTCATTCCGGGCTAAGGGGAGGCCAGGGCACCGAGTCCCATCTTGCGGATGAAGTAACTTGAGTCAGCTGGCGGCCAGGAGGCTGGCCCGGGGCTACACACGGCGAGGCTGGGTTGTAGCTGGCCACTTCCGGGGTTCCCTGGGTTAAAGTAGGTCACCCAAGAACTTTTTTTAAAAATGCTAATGAGACTATCACTCATGGTTATAATTGGCATAACTTTCCAGAAACCGTTCTTCCAAGCTGGAGCCTGATGCTTGTTTGGGACAGGCAAAGTGACTGGGAAGGGGTTGAGTGGGCAGACGTGCCAGGAGGCCCTGGCCACTTTCCCCTGAAGAGCATTCCCTACCGGACAGTACTCTGTCCCCAGCGTCCCATGTCACCCAGAGAAAAACTCCAAGTCCTGCAGCCCACACTCCCCCCCGCCCCCCAGGATGGTCCCAACTCCCTCCGACCCATCTCCTGGTCTCCCCTGAACTCCTCACTTCTGGCACACTGGAATATTCTTCCAGACAATCCCCAGGACCTTTTCCTTTTGGTTCAAAGGTCACCTCAATGAGGTCATCTCTGAGGACCACTTAAAACATTATTTCTAGAATGCCGGGTTACTTTCCTCTGTCTTTTCTTCTTTGAATTACTCAGTCTGATGTATTCTACCTAATTATTTGTTCCACCCCTATCCCTAAGTTTTTATCTGTTTTGCCCTCTATTCCCCAGGGTTTAGACTAGTACCTGGCCCATTGTGCTTAATGCATGTAATACACTGGTCATCCTCAGGACCATTTCCCCCTCTCCATAATCTCCCTAGCACCCATGCATTCTGGCAGATGGGTACATTCTCAAACACCGTGTTAAATGCACAGCTCTGTTTCCCTGAGACCCAGGCCTGCCTTCTTACCACCTCTGTGCACAGATGTACACACATCCAATTGTGTCACAGCACAAATACCTACGTTTGGGAAATAGTTACTTTGTTTCTTGGAAATTGAGGTAGATTTATGTTACCTAGACTAATCTTAACTCTCAGCCTCATACATCCTAATGTTCTTCTTGAATCTAAGGGGTTCGGGGAATGGATAACCCCCTATCTGTTTTCTTTTGAACTGGGGTTTTATTCTGTCACCCAGGCTGGTCCTGAACCTCTGAGGCTCAAGCAGTCTTACTATCTCAAACTTTTGAGTAACTGATACTACAGACACAGCTGAACACTGTGACAGCTAAGTGGCAGCTAAGCCACTTGTAATATTTGTTGATTAGAAAGCAAATTAGTGGGCTCTGGGTTTTGCATCCCCAAAGCCCTAGGTTTGATCCCCAGCATCAAAACTCAAACAAAAAAAAAATTAAAAAGAAAATACACTCAGCAAATGCTAAACCTGTAGCTGTCTTGAATGTTCTGTGTCCTAATAGGAGAGGAAAGGCTACAGGGCAGGGTCTGCCTTTCATTGGCCCCTGGTGTCCTGCTGCTGTGGACAGCAGGTGTCACATGTGTTGACACAGTAGTCTACCCAGTAGAACAGTGTTCTATTCTACTTGGACATAGTGCATTAGCAAAGTGCTGTGAGGACTGAGTCCCATCCATCCCATCGTCATCATTTTCCCCCTCTTCCCCCGCCCCTGCTTTCCTGTTAAATGTTCTCAGCTGTAGTCTGGCTCTCTAGAACAACCCTATGACCCAGACAACCCTCTGGGCACTGATTCCAAGGACATTAACTTAAAAGAAGAAGAAGAAAAAAAGCTATACGTACACAGATATTTATAGCTGCATTATTTATCATAACAAAAATACTGAAATCACTCAGCAACAGAAAAGTGGCTAAATATGGTACGGCTGTATGAAGAGATTGTATGCAGCCTGAAAACAAAAATGAAAACTATGAGGCAACTGAGGGAAATATTTCCAAAATATGTAAGAAGAGGGCCAGGGTGGAGCTCAGGGTGGTGGAGCATTTGTCTAGTGTGTATGAGGCTGAGTTTGAGCCCCAGCAAAGAGAGAGACAGAGATTACAATATGTGAAAAAGGTGGAATAAAATTATTTTTATACCATGTTTTTTTAAAGTATAATGTAACCATTGACTTAAAACTAGGAAAAATACAAAAACTAATGTTGCATTTGAAGATGGTTTTGAGAAGAATTGAGAAAGCCAGTTCCCTCTGACAATATAAAGTTTTCAAAATCAAAATCACCAAATGATCTCAGCTTCTAAAGATGGAGAATAAATGTGAGGAAGACTTTTAATCACCCCTTTGCCTCCCCAAGCAGCTGACTCAGAGCTGGGCACACAACACATGCTCAGCAAATACCAACTGATTGACAACTCTCACCCTAAAACACAAGCAATCTTACCTCAAAAGCCACTCTCCTTTAGCCACATTTTTTTAGTTCCCTCAAATTCTCCATTCCTGCCCAATGCTAGTAGAATGGCCTTAAGCAACCTCTGAACTTGTTTGCCTTGTTATGGTAATGCATTCCATGAAGTTTGTTTACCTAAACATCCTTGTCAAACATCTGGGGTACTAGGGAGAAAGCAAAATGCACAAGAAATGGAAGCAAGGGGCAGGGAAAGGCCAGAGAGCCAATATTCCGGGAAGCTAGGAAGGTCAGTGGTATCCCCCCACTTTTATGATGCCAACTGGATAAGAAGCAGCTGCTGTTGGGGTTCCCGAGAGCTGGGTGGCCTCCTCAGAGTTGGCCACGCCCCTCAGCCAGTGCCAGAGCCTGGAAGGTCTAGGGCCACTGGATGGAGGCTGTTTCCTGAAAGGACAGCCCTGTTTCTTTCTCTCTTAATTTTTTTAAAAAATTATCATTAAGTAGTTGTACAAAGGGATTTCAAGTCAATCTATCAGTTTATGAGTACAGTGCTTCTTGATCAGTCCTTCTTGATCACTCTTTCCATCCTTCTCCCCCATCTTTCCCAGCAGCCTCATCTCTTAAATACAGTGAATGTGGGATGGTGATAAACTCATTTATCCTGAGACAGTTCTTGGGCTTGACCCAGGTGAAAGGCCATGCTGGCCACAGAGCCCCCAGGCTTGACCCAGGTGAAAGGCCATGCTGGCCACAGAGCCCCCATTCCTGGGGATGGCTGCCTGGTCCCCCGCTGTGGGGCCAAATGCTTCTGGGCCTGTAGAAGAAGCATGCGACTTCCTCCTGGGCCAGGACCTACGGGGCCATCTGAATGAGACCCTGTGCTGGGCTACTGAAAGCTCTGGCGAATGTGGGTCACAGTGCTTCCCCTGTCCCCAAAGAATCAGTGCCAGTACCTGCAGTAGCTCACGGCCAATGCCAGTGGCAAGATTTGCTTTCCCTCTTTCCATAAAAAGAAACTCAGACACCCTCCGCCCCAAACAAACATATCTTTGCCCAATGGTTCCTGCTCCCAGATTTGCTTGTCGTTTGCCCACCTGGCATCCCACAGAGAAGGGAGAGTGCCTGAGGCAGTGCCAGCACCTGGTGGAGAACTGAACTGCAGGTTCTTTTCTCCTCTTTGCTGCTGTCAAGATATTTCAAGGGGAAATCTTGAAGTAGCCCCTTGGGATTGGGCACCTCTCAGATTCCCGTTGCAAGGAGCATGCTCAGTGGCACTGCTAGCCTTTGCAACATTGGGTGCCATGACACCCAGATTGCTGAGGTCTCCTCCTGGCTGGGGACACTGTAAGGAATGAGCTGGCAGGTCGAGGCCAGCTCTGAGCTTAGTGGAGGAATTGAGGAGCCAGCTCCAGGCCCACACGACACTGCCCGCCTGCCTCTTGGTTCTCCTTTATACAACTTGGACAGGTGGCACCAGTGTTTTCCAATGCAGAAACAAGGCTTGGACACTACTCCCTCTCTATTTCTGATTATCAAAAGAGAAGCAATTTATTAAACAGTGTCTATGAGTTTGAGTATGTGCTATGTACTTTACATATATAAATGCATTTCCTGGGGCTAGAAACCTAGGAATGGAGATGAAGGGGGAGAACCTATAAGATCTGGGGAACAGGGAAAGGAAGTTTATTTACATTCCTAGATTCCAGAAAACCTCTGCAGTCTACAATTTACAGGGGCCCAAAGGACAGAACTCCCTGATCCTCTGGCAGGTATACCCAAGGCCCAAGATGTCAGCAACACAACTAGACAGGGTTTTCTGGAGGCCTTCTGAACTTTTGTCCTTGAATGAGGCAGAACTTAAGCTTTAAAAGTATGGGCAAGAGGCGGGCACTGGTGGCTCAAGCCTGTAGTCCTGCTACTGAGGAGGCTGAGATCTGCCAGCCTAGGCAGAAAAGTCAGTGAGACTCTTATTTCTAGTTAATCACAGAAAAAGCCAGAAGTGGAGCTGTGGCTTAAGTGGTAGAGCACTAGCCCTAAGCAAAAGAAGCTCGGAGACAGTGCCCCAAGCCCAGAGTTCCAACCCCGGGACCAGAAAAGAAAAAAAAGAAAAAGATATGGACAAAAAAAAAAAGATAGCAAGGCCATTCAGAGTAACAGAAACAAATGACCGAAGTAGTAAATGGGGTGGAAGACAATTTAGTAGAATATCATATATCATACTGGGTAACCAGCAAGCTGGAAAGTTTGATGGGAGGACTCTGAATGCCATGATGAGGTGTAGTGTGCATGTTT